GGATTTCTCAAAAGAGACCTTACAAGCAAGAAGGGGCTGGAAGAAGTATTCCAAGTCATGAAAGGCAAGGACCTCCACCCAAGATTACTCTATCCAGCAAAGCTTTCATTTAGAATGGAAGGGTAGATAAAGTGCTTCTCAGATAAAGTCAACTTAAAGGAGTTCATCATCGCCAAGCCCTTATTATATGAAATGTTAAAGGGACTTATCTAAGAAAAAGAAGGTAAAAAACATGTACAGTAAAAAATGACAGCAAACTCACAATTATTAAAAACCACACCTAAAACAAAAGCAAACTAAACAAACAACTAGAACAGAAACAGAATCATAGAAATGGAAATCACATGGAGGGTTATCAACAGAGGTGTGGGAGGAGGAGAGAGGAGGAAAAGGTACAGAGAATGAGTAGCATAGATAGTAGGTAGAAAGTAGACAGAGGAAGGGTAAGAATAGTATGGGAAATGTAGAAGCTAAAGAACTTATACGTATGACACAGGGACATGAACTAGAGTGAGGGAATGTGGGTGGGAGAGAGTTTGCAGGGTGGAAGGGAGTGAAGAGGGGAAATGAGACAACTGTAATAGCATAATCAATAAACTATATATTTAAAAAATATATGTCTTATAGCTCCTCCCCATGCCTCCAAAGGGAGGATCCTTGAAGTCAGCTATACCAGTCAAGTTCAATCTGTTTGTTGGGAATTTCAGTTTTCACTGAGAAACACAAGGACAGGAAATACAATAGATTTATTCCATGGTGGCCCTTGAGAAGGTTGTCCTGAAACCTGCATCCCTGAGGCCACCTGATTTTGTCCTTTCTGAGGCCTAATTGAATACTATAGATGGAATTGCTGAGTGCTCCTAAAATTTATATGCTGAAACCTACTCTGCAGAGTAATGATATTTGGAGGTGAGCTCTTTGGGAGGCGAGTAGGACACAAGGGTGAAACCTTTATAAATGGAATTACAGTCATAAAAGAGACCCCCAAAGAACACCCTATTTCTTCTATTGTGTGAGGATACAGCAAGAAGATGGCTGTCTGTGAACTAGGAAGAGGGCTCTAACCAGACACTGAATCTACTGGTGCTTTAATCTTGGGCCTCCAGAACTATGAGAAATAAATATCTGTTGATTATAAGACTTCTAGACTATGATATTCTTTTACAGCAGCCTAAACTAAGACACTGACACACCCATGACTTTCCAATAATCCCTTCTTTTGCTTTAGTTAAAACCAGAGTTGGCTTCTTTGTTTGCACCGAGAGAACTCTAACTGATAGAAGTGTTGGCCCATTATTCTTAAATATGCTAAAGAACATGATTTATTAAATGGCCATATGACTTTATTAATTTATTTGATGGATTTCATGCTGTGTTGCACTTTCATGACAATAGTATTACTACTCCCCACCAACCTCTGCTTTGTTTCCAGTTCTGATATGTATCCTGCATGATTTACAGAGAAAAATGGTGGAACAAAGGACACTAGAATAATTATTATTTATAGGAAGCACATATCATTTCCGATACTCTAGGCAGGTTTTTTCATTGGCCTCTTTTGTTCCACTGTCTATTCATTCATTCTTTCTTTAATTTATAATTCATTCTCATTGTTGAAAGGATCTTATGGGTTTTCTAGGGCAGGAATGGGAAATTGGTTTCATCTTGTCCCCCCACTTCAATGAATTGTTGGATTTAATTGAGTATTGTACTGCATGTGGACTCAGTGGGGAAAATGTGTCATAATTAATTATCCATGTTCAACATGGCCTTTGAAGGCAGATTCCTGATTGACTACAACTTCCCACCAAATATTGAAAAGTCTTTAGTCTATATAATATTGGTCTGAGATGGTTTCTGCTTAAGCATATTAATTGAAACAGCTCACTTCACATTTAGATTTCTCCATTTGTTATTAAGTTTTCCTCTGGTAAGGTGCTGGACTGATTTAGAAAACCTAAAGCTAACTCTAACTCTAGAGAATAACAATCACTCTGGGCTTTGGTTTTCCACTTGAGAAATAAAAAACTTAAAGTGGGTAACCACCAAGTCTCCTTCCACCTTTAAGACACTATTATTCAATAGTCAATATTTTCAAAAGTCAATATTTTCAAATATATTCAAATATATTTCAATATATTCAATATATTTCAATATATTCAAAAGTCAATATTTTACCTTTTAATGACATGTTCTGCTGGCCTTAGTTACACAGCCTGGCTTACATTAGAGCCCTTCAAGTACTTGAAGACTTAGAACCTTCTAAGATGTTTGTTTGAGGTAAAACATGACTGGTTTCTTTAGTAATTTCTTGTATGATAACTTTTTTAGACTTTCCAACATTCTGGTCATTCTCTTCTAGACATTGGAGTTTTCCAGTGTTGCCCTGGAAGTATGGCTTCTAGAAATGGATTCTGGCCAGTTGTGCAGTAGGAGTGTTCCCACTACACACCTATGTGCTCTGCCTGCCCTCCTGGCAGATGAGACCCCCTGTGAGCAGTGTATAACCCAATGGGAGGCACCCACTGAGACTGTCCTGGATTTAGGGATGTGCTGTATTAGAAGGCCTTTGTTGGGTTGCATGAAGAACAGATGCAGGGAGACATTGAATCAGAGCTGGAGGAAGGTGGTACTTCCCCAAAGGCCAGTAAGTAACTAAGTGCTGATGAACTGAATAAGTGTTACTTAATAAATGTGGAAAGAAGGTCTGTCAGAGATGTCATTAATGTTTGCAGCCATTGTTTTTAAACAAGGCTTTGAGTGCTCCTATCTCTGTTCATGAAAATAATGTCTCTCTAACCCTTTTCTTTTGCTAGGCCTCCTCTCCATTCTCTCTGACATCATGTCACTTGATGCCTTTGCCCCAGCAGCTCTTGTATTTGTCCCTTGCATAAAAGGACAGGTACAGAGGCTCTTACTTAAGGAAAATATAATAAAAACAAGGAAAGGCAAAAGTAGACTTTGAGAGGATTCTGTTCTGACCATGAGCCTACTGGAAATAATAGTACAAAGTTGTCATGGAAGGAATCTGATACCCAAACAGATAGGGGTTGTCCTGGCCACCCTCACCCCACAAAGTCTCATGTGTTGTGGTCCTAGGCTATTACTCTGACCCCACTCTTGCCCTCCTGTATTTAAAAAATTTAATTTATTGGACTTCAGCGAAGATGGAGGTATAGGTGGGAATACTTTGCATCCTCCCACAACCAATCTAAAAACAAAGTTTTAACAACAATAAATGCAACCAAACCACACAGAAAATCAAATACAGAATCCGAAAATAGTGAAACGCTCAGCTAAACTGGTGAGGGGGCAAAGCCAGCAGCAGAGCTGGTCAGGCAAAAAAGATTCACCCCCGCCCCCAGGCAGTGCACAGGCAGCCGGGGGCGCGGATCCCAGGTGCGGGCTAGCTACAGGCAGACCCAGGGAAGAGGCAAGGCTGGCTGTCTGCAGTTAGTCATGCATTTGCATGCAGATAAAACAGTGAAGGGGAGAGCATTGAGACAGATCTTGCAGGCCCAGGCAGCCCGTGCAGGGCAGCAGGCTCGCACATTTGTGCTCGGATAAGCAGGCAAGGGAAAGTGGTGAGGCGGACTGGATGAGCGGAGAGGACCGCCATTGCTCCTTCTCTGACCCGGCCCCCACATACAGCATCACAAACCAGCCACCTGGGTAGCCCCACCCTGATGATCACCTAAGGCACCTCTCCTCATACTTAACAGGTGAGGACAGATCAAAACATGGCTCAAGAACAACTCAGAGCCCCAGAGCTGATAAATCTAAGTAATGAAGAAATAGCCAAACTTTCATATGCACAGTTCAAAACACTGGTGATCAGGATGCTCACAAAACTGGTTGATTTTAGTCACAAATTAGAGGAACATATGAAGGCTAAACTATTGAAATGAATGGTAATGCACAGGAAACCAATAGTAATGGAAAGGAAATTGGGACTCAAATCCAGGGAGCAGACCAGAAGGAAGGAAAAAATGACCAAACAGAAAAATATGAAGAAACAAGAATTCAAAAAAATGAGGAGAGGCTTAGGAACCTCCAGGACATCATTAAATGTTCCAACATCTGAATTATAGGGGTACCAGAAGGGGAAGAGAAACAGCCACGAATGGAAACCTTATTTGAACAAATAATGAAGGAGAACTTCCCCATTCTGGCAAAGGAAATAGACTTCTAGGAAATCCAGGAAGCTCAGAGAGTCCCAAAGAACTTGGACCCAAGAAGGAACACACCAAGGCACATCATCATTACATTAGCTAAGATTCAAATGAAGGAGAGAATCCTAGAAGCAGCAAGAGATAAGGGGACTGTCACGTACAAAGGAGTTCCCATCAGACTGTCAGCTGATTTCTCAAAAGAGACCTTACAGGCAAAAACAGGCTGGAAAGAAGTATTCCAAGTCATGAAATCCAAAGACCTACATCCAAGATTACTCTTTCCAGCAAAGCTTTCATTTAGAATGGAAGGACAGATAAAGTGCTTCTCAGATAAGATCAAATTCAAGGAGTTCATCATCACCAAGCCCTTATTATATGAAATGTTAAAGGGACTTACCTAAGAAAAAGAAGATAAAAAAGATGAACAGTGAAAGGACAGCAAACTCACAGTTAGTAACAATCACACCTAAAACAAAAGCAAACTAAGAGGACAGCTAGATCAGGAGCAGAACCATAGAAATGGAGATCACATGGAGGGTTAGCAACAGGGGAGTGGGAGAAGGAGAAGGGGGGAGAAGGTACAGAAAATAAGTAGCATAGACAGTAGATAGAAAATAGGGGGGAGGGTAAGAATAGTAGGGGAAATATAGAATCTAAAGAACTTGAGACACGTGTTGATGAACTAAAGGGGGGGATGGTGGGGAAGGGGTGTGCAGGGTGGAGGGGAATGGAGGGGGAAATAGAACAAATGTAATGGCATAATCAATAAAATTTTTAAAAAGCAAAAATAAATAAATAAAATTTTAATTTATTTCAAATGAGGTAACAATGGTTAATAACATTATATAAATTTCAGGTATACAACATTATCATTCAATATCTGTATACCCTATGGCATGCTCATCACTGAAAATTTGGTTTCCATTCATTACCTTTACCTATTTTGTCCTTCACCCACTCCCTTCCCCTCTGGTAACCACCATTCTGTTGTTGTCTTTATCTATGAGTTTGTGTTTGTGTTGTTTTGTTTGTTACATTTTTGTTTTAAACAAGAAGGCAACCAACAGAAAGGAAGAAAATATTTCAAATATTTCCAGTCAAGGGTTAATATCCAAAATATATAAAGAACTCATATAACTTAACAACAAAACACCTGCAAACAACCCAATTAAGAAATGGGCAGAGAATCTCTATAAATATTTTTTCAAGGAAGACATACAGATGGCCAACAGGCATGTGAAAATATGTTCAACATTACAAATTATTAGGAATATGCAAATGAATATCACAATGAGATACTACCTCATACCTCTTAGAATGGCTAGTACCAATAAGACAAGAAATAACAAATGTTGTCTAGGATTTGGATTAAGGGGAACACTTGTGCATTGTTGGTGGCATTGCAAATTGGTACAGCTACTGTGAAAACAGTTTGGAGGTTCCTCAAAAAATTAAGAATAAAACTACCATATGATCCAGCAATTCCACTTCTGGGTAGTTATCTGAAGACTATGAGAACACTAACTTACATTCCTATGTTCATTGCAGCAAGATATGGAAACAACTTAAGTGTCCATTGAAAGACAAATGGAGAAAGAAGATGTGGTACATATATATGATGGAATACTACTCAGCCATAAAAAATGATAAAATATTGCCATTTGCAACAATATGGATGGACCTTGAGGATATTATACTGAGTGAAATAAGTCAAAAAGAAAAGAACAAAAGCCATATGATGTCACTCATATGTAAAATGTAAAACAAAAAAGTAAGAATCAAACAAAACAAAACAAAGCAAAACAAACTCACTATCTTGTTTTGGCCCAGTCCCCTTGGCCTCCATTCTATATAAAAAGGTATTAAGTGTAAAATGGCATCCACCTCAAGCACAGTATATTAACCATCCTTTGATTTTCTATAACTAACCATAAATTATCTTTGAGGGTCATGAACTAAGATGATCTGAAAGTCTTTCAGACCAATAAGAGAATGCCTCCCACTTTCATGTATTTCTAGATCTTTTCTTATAATAATTCCTTGGTCTTCAGGAAGCATCAAGGTCTTAAACTCTAGGGGATGGGACTGGGGCTAGAAGTGGGTGATTCAGAGATTCACGGTTACTTCAGAGGCCTAATGTCTTTTAAAGCCTGAAACCCAGGCTAGAGGCAATCTTTCTGTGCTAGCTGGTTAAGTAATATGTCAAAGCTATCATAACAAGGTACCACTGACTGGGTGGCTTAATCAGCAGACATTTACTTTCTTGTAGTTCTGGAGGCTGAAGGTCCAAGATCAATGTGTCAGATGGTTTGGTTTCTTGAGGCCTCACTCTTTGGCTTGCAGATGGCTTCATTCTCTCTGTCTTCCCATGCCATTTTTCTATGTGTGTGTGTATTTCTGGTCACCAAGGACATTTGATGTCCTTTTCTTAAAAGGACACCAGGTATATTGGATTAAAACCCCACTCCAGTGACTTAATTTGACCATATTTATCTATTTAAAGTCCCTATCTCCAAATACTCATATTGGAGATATTGGGGCTTAAGAACTTCAACATATGAATTTTGAGGGGACAAATAGTCCATAACAATACTTCATGAGCAGTGGTAGGATGTGAATGCTCTCAACAATCACTGTCCCTGTGGGTCCAAGAGACTGCCCAGTGTCTTTTAGGGAATATACTCTTTGGCCCAACTTTCCCAAACCTGTGCCAGGACATGCAACAAGGGGAGAGGGAAGAGGGAGGGTATAGATGGTCATGCCAGTGTTTTCTATCCTCCCAATGTAGCAACTGCCCGGGCTGCTCCTGGGAAGTGGGGCAAAGTCTCACAGATGTACAAGAACCATGGTAGTTTCAAGACACCAACTATGTCCTAGATTGTTATGTGCCTGGGCAGTGGAGTTCCTCATGATCTAGCATCACTTTATCTTCTTCCTCATGGCAGATCCTACACAAGGGGGTTCTCTGTCTCTAGAGCCACTCCATTAACACAGGCATCCTTCTTCTTTTTTTCTGGCAAGGAGATAAGAAAGAAGGTTACCCCTCCAACCTTTGGAATCTTAGCATCCTTCACCTGGCCCAATGGCTCTGAATCCCAATTGTCCCGAACCAAGATCACCTTGGGCAAAAACCAAAAACCCCACATTTCCCCCCACCTCCTGTTTTTTCAAGACCCTGGAAAAGGAGATGTTTCAAGGATAGGAAGTTCTTCCTAATGTCTAGACTTCCTCTAAAACTATGCCATACATTTAGCTGTAAAAAGTATGGAAAACTAGAGCTGGAATGGACCCAGTTAAATGGCTGGCCAGAAGCCAAATGGCAGAGCCAGGGTCAGCCAACTGGACTCCCTCTGCAGATCCTTTCTGTTGGCTTATTTCTGTCCCTTCTTGGTGACCAAAGCCACTGTTTACTGAGCCTTAGAAACATTAGGCTGAGTGAAAGAAGTCAGTCATAAAGAGCCACATAGTGCATTATCCAAAATAGACAGTGTATAGACAAAAATTAGATTAGTGGCTGCCTAGGCCTGGATGGAAAGGGAAGATTGGGGAGTGATAGCTAAGGGGTTTGGGGGTTTATTTTTGGGGTAATGAGAATGTTCTAAAATTGATTGTGGTGATAGATACACAAATCTGTAATACAATAAAAGTCACTAATCTGTATATACTTTGAATGGGTGAGTTGTATGGTATGTGAATTAGATATCAATAAAGCTGTTGAAATCAAAAGCTGCTTCCTTCCTGGCTCTACCTTCTTACCACAAATCCTAAGAACTGTCTGAGGGTAGACAGGGTCCCTGGGTGACATGTGACCTCAGCTGCTCTTCCCTCCTTCTCCAGGGAAAGAATATACAAAAGCTGGTCATCCACCTCAGCTCCATGCTGAGTAGCTGAGGTCCCATACCTCCTTCTCCTTGCTTACCCACTCTTTCCACCCTGGGGCCAGCAAGCCCATACATCCTGGGACAGACATGGGCATGAAGCCCAGGGCAGTGGAGTTGTTTCTTTCAGGGTCAGGGGATTCTGGGGCAAAGGCAGGGCTAATGGGTCTAAAGCTCAGAACCTGGCTAACCTCTGTTTCCTCTTCCCTCTTCTCCTTGAGAAGTAGGCTCCATCTCTCTCAGGAAGAGAAGCGCTTTGCTCAGGGAGTATTTCCTAGGCAACAATGGGTTGGGATTCAACTAGACCTTCACTCAACAAATCTTTAATAATACCATCTATGTAATAGGAACCATTGCTAGGTGCCCAGTGGTGACCCAGCCTTTGCCTTTAAAGAGCTGAGAACTTAGTAGTGGAGTAAATGCAGTAAGAACTGTGATTGGGGTAAGCAATGGACATTAAAGGCAGGACACTAATCCATTCTGGGGGTAAGGAAGAGGGTCAGGAAGGCTTCCTGGAACAGGCACACTTTGAAGATTATATAGGAGATAACCCAATAAAGGAGTTGAGTGGAAATCATGGAAAGTGTGTTTCAGACAGGGAAATGGAATGTACAAAGGCCTGAAGATATATGTAAAAGAATAGTTCATTTGAAGAACTACAAAGAAACTTCAAGTCTTATTGGAGGACAGAATAACAAGATGGAAAGGGCAAGAGATGAGGTGAGAAAGATAAGGAGAACAGACCTTTTGAGGACAAATAGGAGGAAGTCCAAATTCTACCCTCCTTTCCAGCAGATTTAGCATCTCCACCCACCTCCAGTACCTGCAGGACTCCCACCTGAGCAGGGGCCCCAGTGCCAAGCAGAGAGGAGACCAGCCAGGATCTGGAGCAGCAAAACAGGCACAACCACCAGCAGCACATCTTTGTAGGAGGATTTCCCTGATGCAGGACGTGGAGGGGGCAGGGTCAGAGATGGACTTGATACTTCACCACCCTACACTGACACCTTGCCCATGGCATACCTGCCTCATGATTGCAGCTCTCCAAGGAATTGACTACAGTTGAGTTCCAGCTGACAGGGCTGGAGACAATGCAGGAATAAGCCATACCCTTGTCTCCTGGTCCCAGTGAAACCGTCAACACCTGTCTATCCATGAAGAGGCCATGTGGCTTGGTACCAAAGCCAATGGTCCCCTTCTGTTTCCAGCTATAGGTTATATCACTGATGTTGGGGACCCAACAAGACAGGAATGCTTGGCAGGTCTTGGGGGACTGAGCATCTCCAGATACAGCAATGAACACTTGTACCATGGGCCTGGGAACTGCATCTAGGCAAGAACAGTAGAGCGGGTATGGGTTATAGAGATGCTGAGCAGGGACCACAGCTTTGGGTCTTGGATACATGCAGGCTTAGATGACACCTCTGACTAGTCTACTCTCACTCCAAAACCTTGTCTGACTTCCCACTGACCACAGGACAAAGGCTGAATTCCTTAATCTGGAATTAAAAGTCATTCATAAAATGGGTGATGTAAACCTCTTCAGCTATACCTTCTACTGGTCCTCTCCACCTATCCTAATTGATTCCCATTCCCTCAAATATGTCATGCTATTTCTGCTTTCATATGTCTCAGTTGTGCATGTGTGCCTTTCTCTTATTGTCTTCTTAGAAAACTCCTGGGCCCAGCTTGAACACATTGCTTGCTGCCCTGATTGTGAAGCCTTCCCTGACATACTTGATGGTATGGTATTGAGCTCTCCAAGCACTCTGCTCCTTACCAGAGCATTTTTCTCATGATAGAGTGGTCAGAGAGACAATAAGTATTTATTAAGTCAGATAAAATAACATGTACAATCCTGGACTTTTAGAATTTTGAGAGAACAAATACTAACAAGTGATTATGAATAATTAAGAAAATGATTTCCATGGCGAAAAATGCTATGAAGGGGCTCTGTCTTGTTACCTCCATAACCCTCAATCTCTAGGTGCTAAGCTACCTGGGACATTGAACAAATTGGTGTCCTGGTATCCTATGCAGTGGCTCATATTTTTTATATAGGTTGATGAGTGATGGTTCTCTATGGCAATGGGGGCCTGGGGGAAAGCATTTTGGTAACAATGAGAGAACTCAGTGTCTGAGAGCATTCCAAAGTTGAGCAGAGTAGAACTTCACTAATGTCAGGTCAATATGTTAGGATTTGCACTATGAAAAAAAAGGAAAATTTTGATGGGCACACTAATAGTATAAACAAAGATTACAGGGGGAGTTATTTGCACTACTTATGAGGAGAAACTGATTCCAAACCTGAAGGACACAGTAGAAACACCATTGACATTTATAGTAACTGATCTGCTAATTCAAATCCTTCTTTATCTATTATCAAAGCAGAGCTTCTAAGGATGTCTGGCAGCTTTGTGCAATTAGTTCTAAGCAGGCTATGTATTTGGAAGCAATAAAACAGCAATTTCTGGACTTCTGGCCAAGATGGAGGTGTAGGTAGACACACTGTACCTCCTTGCACAACCAAAGAAGGACAACAAATTTAAAAACAAACAAACAAAAAAAACCAACCAGAACTTCCAGATAATCAAACTGTATGGAAGTCTGAAAACCAAGGAGTTAAAGAAGAAACATTCATCCAGACTGGTAGGAGGGGCGGAGATGGGCGGACATGCAGAGAGAACTCGTAGCAAGGCAGTGGCTGGCAGACCCGGTGAGGCAGCAGCTGGCAAACTGGGTGGTCCTATGTTCATGTGCAGATAAACCAGGAGGAACAACTGGAGAGTGAGACAGACCATCCAACCCAGGTTTCCAGCATGGGGAAATAAGGCTTCAAAGCCTCTGCATGAAAACACCTGTGGGGGTTCAGACAGTTGGAGAAACTCCCAGCCCCACTGGAGAATTTGTTGGAGAACCCCACAGGGTCTTAGAACATACATAAACTCACCCACCTGGGAATCAGAAGTGCCCAATTTGATTGTTGGTAGCAGAGGAAGTGACTGAAAACTGGCATAGAGTGGAGCAAGCAGCATTGTTCCCTGTGGGACCCCTCCCCCACATACAGCATCACGAAGCAGCAACATGGGTTGCCCCACCCTGGTGAACACCTAAGGCTCTCTTCCTTACTATGTAGCAGGTGCACCAAGATAAAAAAAAATGGCCCAGATGTAAGAAAAGCTCCAGAAAAAAACCAACAACAAGTAAGCAATGAAGACATAGCCAACCTATCAGATGCACAGTTCAAAACATGGGTAATCTGGATGCTCACAGAATTGGTTGAATGTGGTCACAAATTAGAGGAAAAAATGAAGGCTATGCTAAGTGAAATAAAGGAAAATGTACAGGGAAGCAACAGCAATGGGAAGGAAACCAGGACTCAAATCAACAGTTTGGACGAGAAGGAAGAAATAAACATTCAACCAGAACAGAATGAAGAAACAAGAATTCAAAGAAAAAAATAAATAAATAAGAAGGCACTTAGGAACCTCTGGGGAAACTTTAAATGTTCCAACATCCAAATCATAGAGGCACCAGAAGGAGAAGAGGAAGAGCAAGAAATGGAAGACTTATCTGAACAAATATTGAAGGAGAACTTCCCCAGTCTGGCAAAGAAAATAGACTTCCAGAAAGTCCAGGAAGCTGAGAGAATCCCAAAGAAGTTGGACCCAAGGAGGAACACACCAAGGCATATCATCATTATATTAGTCAAGATTAAAATGAAGGAGAGAATCCTGGAAGCAGCAAGAGAAAAGGAGACAGTCACCTACAAAGGAGTGCCCATAAGACTGTCAGCTGATTTCTTGAAAAAAACCTTTCAGGCAGGAAGGGGCTGGAAAGAAGTATTCCAAGTCATGAAAGGCAAGGACCTACATCCAAGATTGCTCTATTCAGCAAAGGTATCATTTAGAATGGAAGGGCAGATAAAGTGCTTCCCAGATAAGGTCAAGTTAAAGGAGTTCATCATCGCCAAGCCTTTATTATATAAAATGTTGAAGGAACTTATCTAAGAAAAAGAAGACCAAAACTATGAACAGTAAAATGACAACAAATTCACAACTATCAACAACTGAACATGAAAAACAACAAAGGCAAACTAAGCAAACAAGTAGAACAGGAACAGAATCACAGAAATAGAGATCACACGAAGGGTTATCAGCAGAGGAGTGGGAGGGGGAGAAAGGGAGGAAGGTACAGAGAATAAATAGCATAAATGGTGGGTAGAAAATAGACAGGGGGATGTTAAGAATAATATAGGAATAGAAATATAGGAAATGTATGAGTCAAAGAACTTATATGTATGACTCATGGTCATGAACTAAAGGGGGGATGTGGGTGGGAGGGGGTGTGCAGGGTGGAGGGGAATAAAGGGGGGGAATGGGACAACTGTAATAGTGTAATCAATAAAATATGTTTAAAAAAACCCAAATAGCAATTTTCTTAAATTTGTAATTCAAATGCCCAGAACAAAGTGTTTTAGAGCTTAGTGGTATGGTTACTGCATGTATTATTACATTCTATGTCCTCATTTTACATGTGCAGCATCTGAGACTCAAATAAGGAAGGAGCTCCAGGGCTGCCTGTATGGTTGTATATGGTATTCATTGCTCAAGAGCATTGGGTAAGAGGGTAACAGGTGAAGGTGGTGGTTCTGAGATCTAGGCAGCATTCTGCTTGCTGACTGTACACCTGATTCAAAGTTGCATGCATCCAGAAGGACACCCATCTAGTTGCACATCAGCACTCTGAGGGCATGCGCAAGCCAGTTAGCTCCCTCAGGGTGAGGGATGTTTCTCTTTTCCTAATTTGCTACTGCCTTTCTTTCCCTCATTGTTTTTCTTGTCCTAGCTGTCAACTTTATTCTCCGTTCTTAAATTTGGACCTTTTCATTCCCTCTACCAAATTTTGGAAGTTTTACTGAAATTGTACTTTGGGGTTACTCACATCATTTCCAAGCCATTAGATAGATAAATAAGAGCTAGAATACCAATTTTTTTCTTGACTATTAGAAATATAGTAGAGGTGGAGGTGATGGTGGGAGTGGGAATAGAGGTGGAGGTGAGAGTGGAGGTAGTAGAGGTGGAGGTAGTGGTAGTGATAGTGGTAAAGGAGATGGTGGAGTAGGGGGTAGTGATGGCAGTGGAGGTTGTGGTAGATGTAGCTGGGATGGAGATTGATGTAAAATTGCTGGAAAGAAAGACCCTTAGTGCCCCCAGTGAATTCAGCCATGGAGCTGAGGCCTGATTGTACCTGCATGAATGGCCATGGCAAAACCCTGTGGAGCAGAGGCCTGCCTGGCTGAGCCAGGCTAACCCACAGAATTATGAGAAATAAAAATAGCTGTTTTTAGCTATTTGTTTTGCAACAATGAATAACTGAAAGAACCCATGAATGTTACATTGTTAATAATCTCTAACTATATCTGAAAGAACTTTTTAAAAAACACAAAATAAAAATTCTGTACTTTTAACTAGTTGAATTATAATTTAATTTTTAATAAAAATATTGTGTCAATTTAATTGGTAATATTTTTTCCTTTTTAGTGGTATATAAAATAATGGCACATCATAATCTGATACCTTCAAACTGATGAAATATAGGCCAGCTTCTGTCCTATATGGTAGTCAAGCACCATTATATTTCACTGTTATGAGCATCTATCTGATAATATTATCATGATGCCCACTTTACTAATGAGAAGGCTGACATCAGAGCTAAGTATTGTATTCAAGGCTACTTAACCAAGAAAATACCAAGTTGGAACTCAGACAAGGATCGTAGTGGGCAGATCTGGGTTGCTCTAGATAGGAGCTCACCTGGAAGAACCTGAGGATTTTCTTAGATGTGGCTGCAGGAGAGTAGTTGGTCTCTGAATCAGCCACAAAGTCAGAGACCCAAGGTTTCTGGAATCCAGTCCTCCAATTCCCAGGACTCAGGATGCCTTTCCAGGTCTTTGTGGAGGGAGACAGGGCAGAGAGCTAGTGTCAAGCACACTCACCATACACCTTGAGCTGCAGGATCTGGGTCCAGGTCTGACCTTCAGTGTCCACTAGCAAGACAGAGAAGTGCTGCTGTCTCCAGACTTCAGTGGCTGGACCTCCAGGCTCAGATTGCTGTGCATCTGGGTTCGACCCAGGAAGTGGGAGTGGTACAGAGTCTCTAGCAAACCTCGGAAGGATGTGGCCAGGAGATCCTCTGAAGGCCAGAGAGATCTCCAGATGGCCTCTCAAATTTGGAAGCCAGGGTGGCGCTCTGCCATCAGCAGCATGGAGCCCCCGACCTGTCCCTTTACTTGGGCACCAGTAACTGCAACAGAAAATGCTGCTGCAAGAACAGAGCCATGTCACTGCCTGCCCCAAGCTCATATCTCTCCTGCATGTAACCGGGAGCAAATTAGGGCCCCTCTCCCCATTATTCCTCCATCCATGTTGAGAATGTACTGTGCCAGGGGCTGGGAATAAAACAATAAAAAAGAGAATTTGGTACCTGTGCTCATGGAACTCACAGAGGAAGCCAGATTCTTAAGCAAGCAGTTAAAATATACTAAGTTAAGTACCATGATGGAAAAAAAGGGAGTCCTCCGGGAGAACACAGGCAGGGTGATAATGTGACCTTACCTGGCCTTGAAGAGTTTAGAGAAGAAATGGTTAAGCTGAGACCCAAAGGAGAAATGGAATCAGCCAAGCCAAGCAGAGGGCTGCCTGGAGCAGGTATGGGAAATGTTATAGGAAAAGGGAACTGTATGTATGAAGGCCTAGAGGGTGAGAGAGCATAGTGCACAGGGAGCTGAAAGTAGTTCTCTGCATGGGGAGTAAGAAATTGCACTGCAGATTTGGAGGGAGCTAGTTCACGCAGGGCCTGGAAAGTGACATTGGCATTTGGGCTTTATCCTTAGAGCAATGGGGGCTCTAGACTAGGTTTTAAGTAAGAGAGTAACAGGATTAGATGCATGTTAGAAAGATCACTCCAGCAGAAGGACAAAGGATACACTGTATGTAGGTGGGGCAAGACAGAGGCTGCTTCTATTAATCCAAAGATGAGTGATGGAAACTTGTATTGAGGGGGAGCAACTGAGATGGGTAGAGGTGGCAGGACCTGAGAGAGATAAAGATGCATAAACAATGAGATCTGGTAACAGATTGGATGTGAGGAATGAAGGAGAAATAAGTCAAGGATGGCTCCCAGGTCCTTGGGGCCCACAGGTGTCATTCTCTGTGGTTCAGAACAGGAGGAGAGACAGAATGAGGGGACAGGGAAGTGGCAGAATACTGAGTGTTGCTGAGAACATACTGAGTTTGAGGTGTGTGGGTGATGTCCCTGCTTGAAGTGCCTCCTGCCTCTTTCACTGGCTAATTTCTGTTCATTCTTGAAGCATCAAATTTCCCTGATCTCCCCCTTCCATCTCTGTACATTATATGCTTGTTCTCTATGCTCCCTCAGCAGCCTGGGATAATAGCTATGAACTGGCCTCATAACCTATTTATGAGTCAGTGTCTCCCACTGACCTGTGAGTTCCTCTTTTCATCTTTGCACTCCCAGTGCCAATCACTGTTTGGGAGGAGGACATAGAAGCTCAGTAAATTTCTCTGAATAAATAGCAAAATTTTCTGATTTACCTTGTATCTAGCACAGTGGTGGGTGTAGAGGTGCAGAGCAGAATATAAGCAGGCATGGAACATACCCAAGTGCTGGGAGTTTGGTTAAGGAAATGTGTTCTGGGTAGTCACTCAGCCAGCCACTGGCAACTCTAGTCCCTCGTCCACCTCACTGCCCTCCCTGGCCCAAATCATTTCAGGCTTGATTGGAGGTGACTTCAGGGTAAAGGCAGAGTGGAGACACAACATAGAGAAAAAATAGCACCGGATATCAGTCAAGACTCCTAGTTCTATCCTATCCTGTTCTGCCCAAGAGCTCTGTGACCTTCAGCTATCACCCTACTTTCTGGGCTTCCATTGTTCCACCTGTAACACAAGAGGGTACACCAAATCAGCTGTGCTCATCTCATTTACAATTAAGAAAGTTTTGGAAAAATTATTTTTGCCTGCTGTGGCCAAAGATTTGAAAGGCTTTTGAACCAAACAGATTTTTTTAAGGATTTCCTTCACGATGTTTAGAAATGTTGAGATTTTCAGAGCCTTTAAAGCCCTCAAGATCAGGCACTCAGGAGGGACACTGGGCAAAGTCATCTCAAAGTCACTGTGAGTCTGATGTAAACAAAGTTGTCTTTGTCTTTGCCACACCCCAAAACCCCTATCCCCTAGCCTTGCAGTGCTGACCCATGTCACACTGAGTACTTCTTAACCAAGGAAGGGAAGTTAGGCAACAGACAGAATGGAGGTGCCCTGTGCCGAAGAGATCCAACAAGTAAGCATTTCATCACACCATTATTGGCCACTCCAGGTCCATATATCCTACATTAAATTTTCTCTCACCTCTCATCCTTACTCAGTATCCACCTTCCCTTACACAGACCTCAGGAAGGGCCTCAGGTTTTCAACAGGCTGTTGGAAAAACATCCTCAAGAGTAGAAAGAGTCCTGCTCTGCCTTGCCTTCCACTGCTTTCTCCAGACTGTATTTAGAATTCTCATGTGATTGAAGGACAAATACCATATGATCTCACCTTTGACAGGAAGCTAAAGAATAAAACAAACAAGCAAACAGAATAAAAACAAAGACGCTGAAATAGAGAACAAGTGGGCAGCGACCAGAGGGGAGAGGGAAGGGAACTTAAGGGGAAAAAGGGGGAGGGATTTTGAGGAACAAGTATGAAAGACACAGAGATGAGGACTGGGGGGGGGGGGGAATGGGAGGGAGGGGGGAGACCGGGCAGGGGGGTGGGGTGGGATGGGAGAAATAGATTAAAAAAAATGTACTTGAAAAGTAACTAAATAAAATTTAATATTAAAAAAAAAAGGACAAACAGACAATAACAAGGGGAGTGGAAATGGGAGGGAGGTGGGGAGGGCTGGGGGGTTGGGCTGGGGTGGGGGTAAAAGGCAGAAAACTGTACTTAAATAACAATTAAAATATTTTTAAATAAATAAAATAAAATGAAATAGCAAGGAAAAAAAAAAAAGAATTCTCATGTGGTAACACTGCCAGACCCTTACCATCCCCAAAGCAATCCCTTTCCAAGCCACTGGTACCACCAGCCTAAGTTTTAACTGCCCTGAGTCACGAAACAGCTCGAATCTCCTGAACATGGATTCTTCCAGCACTGCTGCCTATTTCCACCCAGGACCCCACATCTCTTTGCCTCTGCCTAGTTTTCAAGGTTCCCCCAAAGCTTGCTCATAGGCTCTCAATTTGGATGGTGAGGTCCTGCCCAGACATCTGGTGAGGGGCTGCTGGATGGGTCAACTCTTTGAGGTTAGGCCACTCACCTGTCCTGCTTACCTGCCCAGAGAACCAGACTCCACATGGACCACACAGCCATCCTTTTCCAGAGAGGCAGGCAAACTCCCTTGATAACAAAAATCCAGAACATTCTAGGTCAAATTAATGCATGGAAGGAGCATAGTCCTTCTGGAAAGTCCCATGTTCAGAAGGAGGAATCTTGACTCATAATAAGATGACCCAAAACTGAAATATCCAGAATAAAGTGGAAGTTGGTTGCAGGCCTTGCTGGATTCTTTCAGGAACGTTTCTTGTAAGTCAGTCCCTCTCACATGCTTTTTGTTGCCCATGCAATTACAAGCCACAAGCACCACCACACAAACCCACATCCTATCCTCAGACTCTCTCTCTCTCTTCTTTCTCTCCCCATCCTTCCTCTCTCCTTCTTTCCCTTTCTCCAGAACTTCCTACATTTTACCCTGCCCTGAGTTTCTGGCTGCAGCCTCAGAGAGCTTTAAACTGAAGTTTTCATGGTTACTTCTCTTCTGCTTAAAATTCCTCCATGGCTTCCTGCTACCCTGAAGACAAAGATTATACTATTGGCTTAGCATCCAAGGCTCTACTAAATTCCATTCCAACCTTCTTCTTCAGGTTTGTCTCCCATGTCCATTCTATTCTGTAGCCACACTGTAGAATGGACAGTCCCTGCAGACTTCATTTATGCCAGCTGTCTTACTCATCTCAATATTACTCAGTGAAGCCTCACTACAGTTTATATAGTTAGAAGACAGACTCAAATATGGGTGTCAGTTAATGTAACCAGATAATGGGAAGATCCTCATGGCATAACAGTGCTTAGCAATGTGCTGGCCTCTTTAAGAGTCCAACAGGGACTTCCGCCAAGATGGAGGCATAGGTGGCTGTGCCCTGCCTTCTCACACAACCAAGTTTAGAGACAACTAAATATTAGCAACAGAAAACACAGCCAGAACACAGAAAATTGAACTTTTCGGAAGTCTGCGACCAAGCGAGCGACCGCGGGGGAGACAGCGGGGGTGACAGCAGGGGTGTGGTGCTGCGTGTTGACTGTGGTCGCGCATTTGTGCGTGGGAGGACAGGCGAGGGAGTGGGCAGTTGGACCGGGGCCCTGTGGGTCCCCACGGCAAGCGGCAGTGAGGGCGCCGCCATTTCCCTGCTCTGACCCCACCTCCACATACAGCGTCATAACCCAGCGACTCTGAGTGGCCCGGCCCAGGTGAACCACCTAAGGTGCTGATCCTCACCCCGCTGTGAGAAACAGCAGAGGGGGTTGCCATTTCCCCACTCTGACCACGCCCCCACATACAGTGTCACAACCCAGCGACCTGGGAGTCCAAGGCGCCGCTTCTCACACTTAAAGGGCACGAACAGACCAAAAATGTCGCAAGAATATCTCAAAGTCCCAGAGCCCATAGATCTAAGCGATGAAGAAATAGCAAAACTCTCAGACGCACAGTTTAAAACACTGGTCATCAGGATCCTCACAGAACTGGTTGATTATACCCACAAATTAGACAAATATATGAAGGTGAAACTAATTGAAATGAATGGAATTGCACAGGACACCAATAGCAATGAAAAGGAAACTGGGACTCAAATCAATGGAGTGGACCAGAAGAAAGCAAATAATGGCCAAACAGAAAAGAGTCAAGAAGCAAGAATTCAAAGAAATGAGGATCTTAGGAACCTCCAGGACATCTTTAAATGCTCCAACATCCGAATTATAGGGGTACCAGAAGGGGGAAAGGCACAGCCACCAGTGGAAAACTTATTTGAACAAATAATAAAGGAGAATTTCCCCAATCTGGCAAAAGAAATAGACTTCCAGGAAATCCAGGAAGCTCAGAGAGTACCAAAGAAGTTGGACTCAAGAAAAAACACACCAAGGCACATCATAATTACATTAGCCAAAATTAAAATGAAGGAGAGAATCCTAGAAGCAGCAAGAGCTAAGGGGACAATCACCT